CGTACGACGGAGAGAGCCTTTGCATAGGCTACTTAGAGTACAATAAAGAGAGTTGCTGATTAATCTGGTGTTAGTCTTTCTGAGCCAGCTGCTTGGTTGGCTACTCCCACACCTCTACAGTAGTGAACCCTCAACGGAACTAACGGATAGAGCCGGGCCCCACTCTACCACAGTAATCCGCTCACTACAATAGTTTGTTTGACTTAGATAAAAAAAACCCAAAAAAAACGCACTTATTCAAATATCATTTATCATCGTTTTGTCTATTTTGTTTATTTTCCCTCAAGTTCAAATCTAACACTTGAAATCAAAACTTTATTACGATTTTCCTTTAATAGCAATCCCTAAAACAACTTGTTGACCTCATGTTCTCATGACCCGGATTCGGAACAAACTTGTTGGGTTTATTAATCAAAGGGTGCGTGCAGGCTGTATCAAAACCACCTAAATATCAATACCAGAAAATAGGGATAGGGCAGACTCACTGTACATACATATTCTTTTAAACTAGCTTTGGTGGCTCGACGATGTTTATATCTTCACATTGAAAGATAACTAAGTATTAACATGCTAAAGTTCATAAACTTTCTATGTTGCATTATCGAGTTATCACACCTCAAAGTGTACAGCATCCGGATTCGAGGCGAAGTTTGTGGTTTCAGTAAACAAAGGTACGTCCAAGCTAAATCAAAAAGAACCTAAAAGGTATTTAACAGTAGGAGGAAACCGGAGGACCCGGAGAAAACCCATGAGGTTGGAAAGGCGACCTACCCCGTCATGTACAAGCGAGGAATTGATACCGCGCCAGTTGACTCAATGACCGACCTTATGATCAAATGCGAACGCATTAACTATTCGGCTACCAAAATCCCTACTGTGCTTTCAAAAACAGAGAAAACTTTGTTTTGTCTGCTTAGAAATTTGATGTACAGTAATGTTGTTACACTATCACTGGACACCTGAAAACTACATGCCGCAATTCTTAACGCATGGTCTTGAAACTTTGCATACTTATTTCTATACCCTAATAATTTTTCCTATTGTCTTTGGTACGTGCCCAACCTTCAGGGTCAGAGCCACTCCCATTTTGTCTTTGGGTGTATGTGTGTTTTGCCTACAGACCGCAATTCTTAATGGATTGTTTTGAAAACTTTTCATATATATATTCCTTATATTCCTTATATTGCAGTCATTTCATAATCTTGACTTCTCGCCGCGGGAGAGCGAGAAGTCGAGGGTGAGAACACGAGGGAGCGAGAAGTCGAGTGCGAAAACGCGAGGAAACAGGGCGAGAATGCGAGGATCTCGCCCCCCCCCCCCCCCGAGAAAACAGGATTATTTTCACCTTGACTTCTCGATCCCTCGTCCCTCGAGTTCTCGCTCCCTCGCGTTCTCGCCTTTGGAAATCCCTGTGTTCTCGCACTCTCGCTTCGTCACAATCTCGACTTCTCGCGCCCTCGTCTTCTCACCCGGGAAGTGCAATGTATACGCATATCCACCGACTACCGTATCGGCATTTATATCTGGACATGGATTCAAATAGACAGAAACGTTTGGGCTTCTAGAAAGTTTAATAGTCCTAACCAATTTTAATCACTTCTTGCACAGATAGTATTGTATTCTATACTCAATTTTAAGTCTTCAGTCGAATCTTTCTTTGCTCTCTAACTTGATCTACGTTCATCGGGTTTTTTTTCTATGCGTGGTTACCCCTTGTCAGTGGTGTAGGATGGAGAGCCTGGCAAGGTACAACGTATAGTCATTCGAATGGGATAAAAAAAAACGATGTCCTATGTCCGGAATCGAAATGAAGCGAGAGTTACGGTGGCTCAGTGAGTATGACGTTTACTCTCTAAATTCATCAAAGTTCATCGGATTTTTCTGGAGATGTCCACCCTTGTCAGTTGTGAGGCCGCTTGAACGTGACAAGGATTGGGGTCGTCTTTCCAACCGTGTGGGGTTTTCTCCAGGTCCTCTGGGTTTCCCCCACTGATAAAGACCCCTACACGCAAGCAAATTATTGTAATAAAATTGTTAGTCCCGAAATGACCTGGTTTGTGTCGTTAACCCCAGTGCTCTCTCTCTCTCTCTCACACACACACACCCACACACACACAGAGCCATAGTTGTATTGCTTCGTATGTGAGAACTATATATTTTTACAAAGAGAGGACAAGTATTTATATTGTAGATAGAGGACTGTCATTAGCTTTACTCGGCACGGTGCCAGGTACGGCACGGTTAAATTTTCGTAGTGTAAATGCTATCCGGTCAGAACGGTTCTCAGTACGGATTACAGCGCATGCGCCAAATTAACCTTGAATTTCTTTCCCGCGAACTTTGACCGTTCTGTCATCGGTTCTGTCAAAGTGGCTGCCCAAACTAAATCAACCGCCATAATTGTTTTCATCCGGGTAATTTGCATATAGGGACTGAAATTAACTTTTCTTTGACGAGCTCCACATTTGGCGTGCCTGGCACGGTTCCGAGACCGGTTATTTTATAATAATGTAATCGGGTCAATTTCTTGAAATTTATCGCGGCCTGGTACCGTGCCGAGAACGACCAAGTGTAAACGGGGCTTTAGAAGCACATTTGATTTTTGAAAGACAGCACAGGAATGACAGGATGTGGTCAGGCTTACGATTGGATCAATTCCTTTCTTCGAGGAAGAACACAAAGGGTGTCAGTTAGATCGGTGGTGTCGGAGGACCATCCACTAGAATATGGCGTTCCCCAGGGCTCGGTCCTAGGGGCGGTTCTGTTTGCATTATACCTGACTCCAGTCGAGGGCATCATCAGCCGCCATGGTCTAAATGCTGTGATTTACGCTGATGACACCCAGCTCTACATCACTTGTGACTCTCGAACGGACTCGATTTCTGCCGGTCGTATTGAAGCCTGTGTAGATGAGATTGGTCTCTGGATGCGCGCAAACTTACTTGCACTCAATGACGATAAGACTGAAATTGTCCGTTTCTCATCGTGCAGGAAAAATGCGAGTCCGCAGGTTGTCCCGGGTGATGTACGAGTTGGTGAGGTGCTTGTTTCACCATCAGCTGCCGCTAGTGACTTGGTGGTGATGATGGACTCGGCTGGACTGATGGATGATCAGATCAAGAGTGTGTGTAGGGCTTCTCCCTCACTGTGGCGTATAGGGAGAATTTGGCATTTGTTAGACCAGGCCAGTACTGAGAAATTGGTGCATGGCTTTGTGACATCAAAGCTGGATTACTGCAACAGTCTGTTTTATGGTCTCCCGAAATACAAGTTAAAGAAATTACAACATGTTCAGAATTCCGCTGCTCGACTGCAGGGGCGGCTCCAGAGAGGGTGGGGGTGGGCCCTGCCCAGCTACATAAAAAAATTGAATGCCTTACATCAATGGAATTAAATCACAATGTGTTCCTACATCATTACAAAAATGATTTCTCTCTTTAAAAAGCTCAATTTGTATGTATGCCTATGTAATTTAGAGACGATGATGACAGATTTCCTTAACAGGAACCTGGCAAAACCCCCTCCTGCAAAAATTCCTGGATCTGCCCCTGGACTGGTGATCCGAAGGAAGCTGGAGCCTCAGGCAGAGATTACGCCTTACTTCGAGAGCTACACTGGCTCCCAGTTGATTCATTGCAAACTGTCTTGTATAATTTTCAAGTTAATACGCCATAGTGAGTCAGCGCCTTGCTACCTCACTGATATCATTAGTATTCAAGTTCCATCTTATCGGACTAGAAGCAGTCATGAGGTGAAGTTGCGACCCTTTTCCCACAAAACACATGGAAAACAAACCAGTGAGTTGTATGGCGATCGCGCCTTCAGTCGTGCCGCGCCTACTCTCTGGAATGAGCTGCCACTAAGACGTAGATCACTCACCAAATTCAGCCTGTTTAAATCCAACCTCAAAACATATTTATTCAATTAGACAATAATACTACTAGTCAATCTAATGTTTTTATAGGCATACATTTGTATATCTTTAATTGAGATTTTTTTTATGAGTTATTGATAGTTTTTATTCATTTATTATTATGTATATACATGTACTATGTGTAGTACGCCCATGTAAAGACGGTTGAGACAATTTGTGTGTGACGGTCTATAAACAATATATATTATTATTATTATTATTATTATTATACGGGTAACAGTCAGGCAACTTTAATATAACCAGAATACTAAAGAGATAGAAATTTATATATTAAAAATACAAAGAAAACAATTTGAAAATATATATATTACAGATGTACATTTTTGGCACAATAAAAGATTCAACAGCGCTTTATAGAAGCTTTACAGTCAAGGTGGGTAACGATCAGCTGGATCCCTAAACAGGCCGTCTGTGGTTCGATCCCGGTATTTTCCAGCATGGTTATGGATTGGACGAAAAACCCTAGGTCCTGTGTACACGTTGGCGTGCATGTAAAAAAACCCTTGACAGTTGGAATTCAATTGCTGTCCGGGCAAAATTTCCCACAAAGCAGATTCTACACACAACAGTTGAAAACCCCGCTTTTAACAATCTCGGTATATGCCGACACACGCCATTACGTATATATAGGCCTATATTTTGTTCATAATATAATGTGTTATGCCATATTTATCAAAACTATCCAGTTTTGGGATGAGAAAAATGGCCAGAACTAGTCGTTCCTCAGTGGATTTTATTACCTTTACAATCGAAAAGTTTATTATATGTTTTATATTCCTTGTATGAGGAGAGGGGTATTGGTTATACCTGTTCCCCAATCCGTTTTCATCCATTTGAAATAAAATATTGTTTACAAACAAAAGTGTTTAGTGTTGATTGATATAAAGTGAGGTCACAAACCCAAAGCTATCACCAAAAGTGTTCATTGATTTAGCCAACCACAGATTACAGATCACTTTTTGTGAAGTATTATCATGATACTTTTATCCAGACGCACTGTGGAAGAAATATACACTGCAAGCGTCTGGGTAACCCAGAGGCAAAATCACGTTGTGTCACTGGGCAACTCACAAACGGACAATTCAATTTTAAATTAGATGACGAAGAGAAGGGAGCTTGTTCTCTTTAGGTAGGTAGGAATAGGTTTTTCATTTATTATGTATTGTTGTGGCCTATATGTGACTTTTCTAAATTTTTGATTTTCTATTTTCTTGTACCTGTTTTTCAAAGTTGTGTTCGTTTTTTTTTTTAAAAAAAAAATCACTCTGCTGTACAATAATAGACTTTGTAGTAAAACCTCTAGCACAACATAAATTGTGTCGGCGGTAGCTCACGGAGAAAAAAATCAACAATGTTTGATAGTAATCATTACCCGATTTAGCATCAAATAAACAGATAAAAAAGAAAATCACAAATTTTGAAAACCCGGATAACAGAAAATATTTGTTTTTGAAAAATCAAACACCCGCGTTCTTGTCCCCATGCACCAAGAGGAAAGAAAAGTAATAGACTCATGTTTCATGGCTTGGAACAAAATGTGTGATGGCGCCGCAGTTTTTATCCCGTTGTATCGCCCCATCAAATTCTCCACATAGTATACCGACAGTATAATAAGTGACTGTTCGGGTTTGATCTTTTGTTCTTAATAGACCATGTCAAATTCAACCAATTTTTCATTATAGTCTCTAGAATGATCTCATTCAACAAAAAAGGTGGTAATTAAATACCATAAGGTAAAGAGATTGGAAGTAGACAAAATCTAGTATAATAAGTTACAGGTGAGCTTTTCTAGTGTTTGAGTATATATATTTAAACTATGCGCTCACATTTTCATGTGGACGTATTAATATTATGCCGTCGCCCCTGCCCATTCACAATTTGTTTGAACTTGAAATGAAACTGCCCAACAAAATACATTTTGTATGCAAATTGTGTAAAAGTATGTAATACCGTAATTGTGGACCCTCTAGAGGTCACAATTTTTATCCGATTTTGATGAAACTATATATAACCCAAAGATCTCGGTTCCTTTCGATATTCGCGCATATTGGACCATATCTTCCTGGATTATGGCCCCTGATTGTACAAAAAATCACATTATTTTTTTTACCTCATTCTCTGTCCATCTCTTGCAAAATGTGGGCGTATCTTACATGACAACCGCTTGTTTCAAAATTCTCTTCACTGAAGCTGTGTTTTGCTGGGATCGTTCGGCTGATCAGTGGTCATAAAGAGTAATTGGTACCTGTAATGTGGAAAGTCTTTCAAAAATAACATTAATTAAGCTGCGACTAAGTGACGTGTTTGAAGTGCGTCCAGCCTAAGCGAAATTTTCATTATAACTGATCTGATCCCGAATTTCTAATTCAGGGGAAATAACCACGTGTTATATTCATTTCAAGCCGATAAAGTATTTCATATCAAAAAAATATAGTCAAGATCAATAAGATAAACCACAGAAAAACGTGCACATATTTACAAGAGAGTTGCATACAAAATTATTCTGTTCTTAATTTCAGCATGGGCCATGATTTCAAGTTACCTCATTCAGCCATTGCTGAAAGATGTTTTTATTTAAACAAGTTGTTTGATGTGTGAATGATAGAGGTCAATGTACGTTGTATATTTATCTTATTCTGGACTGTCCTTATAAATGAATAAATGATTCTTTTGAAAAATGAATTGATGTCAGGTCAATATATATATTTTTCTTGGATTAGAACCAATATAATAATATATATATGTTTGTAGTAATGAGGTCGGAGTCATAATATCTGGCGCTAAGTTACCCTGCCCTACTTGCATTTTACTATTTTGTTTGTATGTTTACAGTATAAATTTGTTAAATAAAAATATTTCTGAAAAACTTCATGCCATATTTCATATGGGCGAGTTTACAAAAATTTAAATATTTTTGTTCTTTTGTATTAACAGATCAATGACAGAGATATGATTGGGTATATATAGGTCGTAGAGATGATGACCATATTGCTGGGTGAAGATGCTGGGACAGTTTTATATCATGGATCAGGTAATCTTAAAAGGCAAGTCCTGGTTGATTTTATCACCAACGCCAGAAATATCTAAACCAGTCCATGGTTTATAATATTCCTTATTATTTAGTAATTAAAAAGGTGAATATTAATTTTTAAAAAAAGTGCTGCTGTTCTCAACAGGTCTTATGTGTGGTTGGAAACTGTTTGGATGCCATTGTTGCAGGCTGGTTGCTACCCCCACTGTTTGCTATTAATCCTCTAATAAATACTAACATTTCCAAATGTAAATTTCAGCATTATTCTGGTCAAGTACATGTAAGTGGGAATAATAAGATGTTGTAGGTAGAACATTATAATTTTAATATTTTTGTATCTCTTCAGGTGTATGATGGTTCGATATATTTGCAACCTGGGGTGGAAAATGATAGATTGGCAATAACAAGGTTAGTTTTTAAATCTAACTAACCCGCTCCCCTTTTTATTGCAGCAATGTGTTAATTGCGAAATTCTGAATAAATTGTCCTAATTTGTAAATGTACAGCGAGACCTGGCAGGGACCAGGTGTATTGTCTTCAATCAGTATTCTTGGCTATGTGAAAAACTTAACTTTACGCATAATTTATTGAATGCCCATGATTGCCAAAAACCATTAATTTCTAACTTACGGAATACCCAATACTGCCAAATATCATAAATTTCTAATTTCGAAGGCAAGTTCTGTCCCCTTAAGAGCACCACTTCTCTATTAAAATCTAATGTCACTGGTACGGAAATGTTCGATAAAATGTTATATTGTAACATATGAACAAAGGATTACGAAAGTCTTCTAATATCTCTGTAAAAGATGACTCTCTTCAACACTTGACGTCACATCACGCGGCGTCAATCATTGGCTCAATGGCACGTGCGTTGTTTACATAAGACGTTACTGGTTCTGGCAGAATGTGGATTTTAATCATTTTAATACACATTTACACAAAATAGGAAATAATTTTTACCTACAAATACTTAAAACGTCTTCATTTATTTTTTTAATTCATAAAAAAAAATGTTTGAGAATTTAATTTGTCGGAGGAAAAATGGTAATTTTGGGGCTCATTAAGTCGCATCGATGTCATCTTTATCAGTGATTGTAACGGCCTAGCGAATATTCACTGCTGATCAGTGTGATGAACATATATTTGTAAATTTATATACAAATGAAGACAACATGTTGCAAACAACTACTACTGCCAATCCGCAGCTAATTACAAATATGTTAAGGAAATGAGTTGTAAAAGATAGAAATCTGCTGAAATCTACAATGAAATGCCATCACATTGTCAATTTGTTAACAATAATTTAAACATACATTATGCAAGAGCTAAATCTGCCTATTGCAGGTTTTTCTTTAGGCTTGAAATGTTATATAAACTATTAATTAGACATTAATTAACTTATCCAAACCATAATTAACTCTCAATGTCATCTTATGTGTCAGATTTTCACTGGATTGGAATCCAATCTGCTGCTCAATGCGCATTGATGAATAAATCCTAAAAATGGATAATTGAGACTATGTTTTTTATTGTACCAACTTTGATAATGATGATCGGGGCTAGGCTTAAAATTCAAAAGCTGTAATCCTGGTTCGTAGTGGAGCAATTTGACTGAAATATTTTACCATCTATTTACGTTATCTATCTTTTAACTATTATAGCGAGAACAGTCAACACTTTATCTAATCTCCCATAATGTATTTTTAACACATCAAACTTCATTATGTGACAGCCGTGGAAAACATGAATAAGCGATACAATCATGATAAATTATCAGGAAAAAATATATCCTTAAATATCACATTGGTAGTAACCTTATGTACTATTATTATGGCACTACAACATCAAAGCTGGTGATGAAAAAAACAATGAGACCAGCTACGATTGGTGACATTGTCTTTGTTTCAATCCTAGTCGCCATAATTCTACAATCGCCCTTATAGGATCACTGCAACATTGTGTACTGACTACTCCAGTTAAATCAAGTCATTTCAACATCACTTAAACATACATTACGCAAGAGCTAAATCTGCCTATTGTAAGTCTTTATTAAGGCTTCAGATGTTATAGAAATTATTAATTAAACCTTTATTTACACGACTAGCTCAAAATCAACTCTGTAGACCCTCCGATGGCTTGGATACAGATTGGATTTAAACAGTCGTACATTTTTTAAAAAATTATATCAAGAAATGGCAGACCAAGCTAACGTTTACCGTTAGTTACTAGCGTCACCATCGGCAACTGGTTTTGAAAGACCTACCAAACAAGGGTACTATAGCCATTGAGAATGTTACTTGATAACCGAGAATATGTGGGTGGAGTTGTCGTCTGTCAATCGAACGATCGTCAATTCTCGTAGACGGTACAGACACAGTTGATGTCTATTTCTAGTCCAAACTTCCAACAGTGACAACTCCATTCAGAATAAAGTAATTGGACTGAAATTTTCAATATTTTCTTTTTTATCATCTATTTTTTAAATTATAGCAAGAATTGCCAACTCTTTATTAAATTCTTAACTAATGTATCTTTAACTTTAAGATACCTCCCACAGGTTACATTGCTTTTGATTACCACTTACCCTCAACTTACAGGAAGTTACATATATTTAAAGATGCACTATTAAAGAGCTAAATCTGTCCATTGCAGGGTTTTTTTTGGCTTCAAATGTTATATAAATTATTATTTAGACATTTATTTACATGATCATTGGATAGCAGAGATTTAAACCGATTGAAATGCGATCGCCATTTAATGATTTAATTTAGAAATTTAGAAGCAAGGCTGAGTCTCAAGTAACATTGCTACGGTAATAAACAATATTTGCCAAATCTTGTCAAAACTTCAAACAGTAATAAAGTAATTTGAATGAAATTTTTTAATATTTAAATTTTGAATTATCTATTTCGAATCTTTATAGCAAGAACGGTCAGCTCTTAAACTAAATCTTACATAATGTATCTTTAAGTCAAATCTAATAGTTGAGTGACTAACTTAGGCTTAAGATTTCCTTTGATTATGGACCATCCTTGTGAACAAAATATAACCATGTGTTATTCTAAAAATGACTTAAGTAAATATCTACGAGACATTAAACCCCATTCCACTTAAAAGAATAGGTTTGATTTGATTCCGATATACATTGACTTTTAGTGAAGATTTCTATTCCAGTCACAAGATGAAACAGGTGTAAATGTTTTTGTATTTTGTATGCAGGTTACAATTGGTAACCTACTAATTTACTAACAATACTACCATACAACATGTTACATACCAGATGAATTTATTGGCGTTATAAAACGTCATTCTTACAGTCCAGATTACATTATAGAGACCATCCAGACTACAGGTGATCAAACAGAAGTGTTGTGACAATGTTGATCTGTTGAGGTTGTTTGGTTTTATTCCTGAGAGATTTTCTAGAGACATGTTTAGCTTTTTCAATGCAGCCGTTTGACCACACTTAATTTCCGGTACTCAAAAACTGTTCCTAGAGTTTATCTGAAAGCAGAGTATTTGTAGTGTCTGAAGATCAACATTATGAATTATCGTTTGGATAATTAAGATGTCATCGTTTTATAAAATAAAGTTCATCAGTTTAAAGAAACCGATTCTCCATATCTAAATATGTGTCATATTGTTGATCGGTTTGTGTTGTTGGCTTTTATTCTAGGAGATTTTCTAAAGACTTTTGGTCATTCCCCACGCAACCGTTTTAGCGCCCCCTGGTGTGAGCTTTCTAGGTTATATTTATTCTGATATTCTCACAATCTGTGTCTCTAGTTTATCTTAAAGGGTAGTTGTAGGGTGTGAAGATCAACATTTGTCAGTTACAGTTTACAGCCAGATAAACAATATAACAGAAGATGGGGTTTATGACAATGTTGTTTGTAGTCTTGTTGTTTGATTTACTTCTGAGAGATATACTAGTGATTCACACGATGGTTCAGACCTTTCTCATTTTGGTTTAGTTTCTAATGTGTGCACATCATTTCTGATTCCTTTCTTCTGTGATGATTCCTGATGTCGCGTATATCTTAATCTCTGGATCCAGTTATATCTTATGACTGGTAGTTGGCAGTCCATGACTAATCTATGGTTATGGACTTGGATATCTTCCTGATCACTAGTTATCTTAAAGAAGGGGAGTTTTAGAATTCGAGGTATATTGTGTTCCTGTAAGGTGTAACATTTGTCATAACCTCATATTCTAGCTATACAGGATAAAGATGACATAACACAAGATGGAGACCACTCAAGATGGCCGACTACTGATTTACAGCCTTGATGGTTTTTATCAGTTGTTATAAATGGCCTGTTAGAAGCCTGGTGGATTCATACGGTGTAAAGTATAGAAACACAGGCAATGTGTTTTGTTCAACAAAATAAAAAATATTTAGGTCTGTAGTCATGTAATCTGATTAGAAATCTTTACTAAAAGTCAATGTATATCTAAATCAAATCACATCTGTTATATTAAATGGAATGATGTTTAACATCTTGATG